AATGCCAGGTCATGGAATTAGGATCGTGTTCTAAAGAAATGTAGGGCCCCTGAGCATTTTAGCAAACTCATTTTTACCGTGAGGTGGAGAATGTAGGGTGGATTGGAGTGTCAAAGTTGAGAGCCAAGACTGGGGAACGAGAAGCTGTGGTTGTCTTCCTGACAATGGCCACTGCCTTGAGCATATCATGGAGGAGACTTGGAGGTGGGTGGCATGTTGTGGGGGGTGAGACGAGGGGGGCGTGCTGGATGGGCTTTGAGAGGTGTGTTCACGGAGATGGGCCAGTCCGGGAGGTGGAGGGGTCTGGGAAGTTAAGCACATTGGTCTGATCCTATGCACCTAGGCGGTAACCTGTAGATAGGTGGACACGCGAGTCCTGGGTTGGAGAGACAGATGCATTTAGTGGTATTTTTGGATTCCCCGTGTTTCTCCCCAGCACAGAGCAGGACTTCACTTCTTTGTCTTCTTGAAGTTAGATGTGGCCATGTGGCTTGTATGGTCAATGAAATATGAGTGAAAGTGACACAAAGATCCAGTGCCCAACTCCCTGCTCTTTCCCTCTGCTTTAGTGGCAGGATACGCTTGGCAAATTGTTTCTCATCCTCATTATTCCTCTCTGGGAAACGTCCCTGACGACTCAGGACCTGGAAGAGCCTCCTCCCGGTGTTCCCTTAGGGCCCTGAATTCACTCTGCAGTGTCTGTCTCTCCATAGAGGTCTCATCTGTCTGCTTATCTGTTTGCTTTACCAGGAGGACCGGTTTTGTCACTGTGTATCCCTAGCTAGTTCTGAAAGTTCAGTATAGTATAGACGTTCACTATGGGTGAGTGAATAAATATGTTATTGAAATGTCTAGAAGTCCTATCAATGACTCAACGGATTAAAAAAAACACCCAAATACATCTGCACCCACTCTCATTATTAGAAGAAAGAGAAGGGGGGGGAGGCATTGGCTTTACAGGGCCCCCGGCTGTACCTTGAACTAAACCACACGGTGTCACATTGCTTACACTCGGGGCTGAGGATGCTCACGGAACAAGGACATGCAAGCCACAAAGATGAGATAGGGGTGCCATCTCTGCTTTACTTGGCAGGCACGGATTGCATCAGAAATCAGTGCCCTTTGAAACTCTTCCAGAGTAACGTCCAGGGGAGTCACCAAGCTCAGCCATCACCAGCTGCGGCTGCAGGGGCTCTACCCACCCCAGGAAGAGCAGCACCGAGTCATTGTGTCCTTCACATCTGGAAGACTATTTCTTGGCCATCTTCCTACCTCAGGCCTCAGCTGTAACCTCCTTGTAATCGACTCATCAGAAGAACCTGGATCTTTGATGCAATTGGCTGTGTGGCCTTGGAAAAATCATTTAACTTTTCCTCATGTATAAAATGGGGATAATGCCCTGGCCAGTTTGGCTCAGCGGTTGGAGCATCGGCCTGCGGTCCAGAGAGACCTGGGTTCGGTTCCTGCTAAGGGCATGTACCTCGGTTGCAGTTTGTCCCCGGCCCTGGTTGTGTCGTGTGGGTGGCAGCCACTCGGTGTGTCCCTTTCACGTCGATGTTTCTCTCTCTCTCTCTCTCTCTCTCTTTCTCTCCCACTCTATCTGAACAAAAAACAAACAAACAAAAAATAAAATAAAATGGGGATAATAATGCCTCTTTGTGGATGAAGTGAGGTATAAATGAATAAAGCTAAGAATGTCTAACACAGAGAAAGTCCTCAGAGTAGGGACCATTATTGTTGCTGTTATTGCTCTTGGTCTCCTGGGCCTGGGTGAGCAGGGAAGCCACTGTGCTCTGCTCAGGGAGGACTAGGCGGAAGATGACAACTGGGCTAAGAGGGAGGGAGCTTGTCAAGCCACCTTGAGAAGGAATCAAGATGGTTAGGGTTAGGGCTAAGGTTAGGGAGTCACACCTTAGGTTCAAATTCCAGCCTTTGGAAAATAATATTTGTTGAATCACCATGTGTTTGGTGCTGAGAGGAGGTGGGGTGTAGAGATGTAAAGGTGTTGCATTGTGAGGGGAGCCCCCCCAACAAGAAACAGGAGCCAAGGACTCCAGTCCTGTCTCAATGGATAAGCCAGGAGGCTTTGGGAAAATACTGTGCTTCGGTTTCCCACTTGGGAGACAAAAGTATTAGGCCAAGTCAAGGGTTCTCCAGCTTTGCTTGTTCCATGAACCCCTCAGGTGAAGTCTAAGGATCCCTTGTAGAGTATTTGTTTTAAATGCAGAAAGTAAAACCCGTAAGATTACAAGAAAAACTCTCATATTAAAATACAGTTATCAGACGTTAAGCAGATTTTTTTTATCCTCACCTGAGGATATTTTTCTATTACTTTTTAGATAGAGTGGGGGCGGGGGGGACATTGATGTGAGAGAAACACATTGATTGGTTGCCTCCTGCACGACCCTGACCAGGGCTGGGGATTGAACCTGCAACACCTTGGTCTGTGGGCCGATGCTCTAGCCCTGCATAAGAAATAACTGGAGAACAATAGCCCAAGACAATGGGAAATCCATTGCACTGTCCAGGCAATTAACACAGGATGAGGGACAGACAGGAGTGGCCAATGGGGGCTGCCGTTTATGCTTAGATAAGGTTATAAATGCACAGAGGATGTGATAACTGGTTAAGGGGTGAGCAGGATTCCAGGGCAAGCTCGTGCGAAGGGATCCTCCGATGTGTTTGTGGGAACCCAGTGAGGGCCCACCATGCACTTCTCAGTCACATGTACACATGAAGGGGATTAGAATGCCACCTAGACATGCACTTTGACCTAAAGACTATTTTGAGCTGAAGGCAATTAGAAAATTGCAGAAATAGAAGGAAGAAAGTTCTCTACAAGCAGACATAAATGTGTATTTGAAAGGGTGTTTCATTCTCTACACCAGGACGAGAATAGTTCTCAGTCACCAGAGAGGACTCTAGATTCTATCCCAGTGTCAACAGACGGGAATCTGCATGACAACCTTTACTGAACAGCCCTAATCGTCCATTAGTTTTCCCATATACTTACCTTCTGTTGTCTTGGCAATCTCCACAATGTATTGCTTTTGGTTAAAGTGTTATATGAACTCCGGGTTCTAACCCACTTCTTGGAGTCCTCGTTTCTTTTCTGCGAGGGCTCCTGTGCCATGGAAAACTATTAACATCAAATCAAATGTGAATGCCTTTTCTCTTGTCAGTCTGTCTTCTGCCTGTGTAATTGGCGGGGCCCCAGCCTCTAAACTCCGGAGGGTGGAAGCAAGTGCTTCTCCTCTTAGCACACACATGTACTTACAGTGCTGTGCCCGGCTCGAAGTTGGCACTTAGTAAATTCATACTGAATGCGTCATGAATAAGCACAATGTCTTATTGTATAATGTCTTGCCATTCTTTGGTCCAGGTCTCCCTTTTTTTTTTTTTTTTATCCTCACCCAAGGACATTTTTTTATTTTTTGTTCAGATAGAGCAGGAGGGAGAGAGAGGAAGAGAGAGAGAGAAACACCAACATGAAAGGGACACATCGAGTGGCTGCCACCCGCACGACCAACCAGGGCTGGGGACAAACTGCAACCGAGGTACGTGCCCTTAGCGGGAACCGAACCCGGGTCTCTCGGAACCGCAGGCCAATGCTCTAACCGCTGAGCCAAACTGGCCAGGGCCAGGTCTCACCTTTTAAACTTTTTTTTTTTAAATCCTCAGTAGAGGACATATTTCCATTTATCTCAGATAGAGTGTGTGTGTTTGGGGGTGGGGGGGGGAGAGACATCGATGTGAGAGAGATACATCGACTGGTTGCCACCCACACGACCCGACCAGGGCTGGGGATGAACTGCAACTAAGGTCCATGCCCTTGGCTGGAATCAAACCCACGACTCATTGGTCCTGGGGCTGACGCTCTGAGTCAAACTGGCCAGGGCTTGCTTTTTTTTTAACTGTCCCCCGCAGGTCTCACCTTTTAATAGGAGCCGCTAAATGTCTTGGGGAAATGGAGGCAGGTTCCACAGGGCTTGTGAAGTGTGTACGTCAGGACCTCTGGGGGCTGCGTCGGCTCTTCCTTCTGGGGGTCCTGGGAGGAAAGTTCACGGCAAGTTTCTGGTAAACAGTGCTTCCTTACAAAACTTCTCTCTAACACATCAGGAGGTCGGGGGACATTTTTTAGGGCCTAATTTATACCTGGGAAGAACTGGGTCCTGTGGCCTTCGGCAGTGGGAGGCCAAGGAGGGGAGTGTGCTGTCCCGCCCCCGACGGGGGAGCAGGCGCGTGGGACGCCCCGCGGGGAAGGGGTCTGGGGCGAGTGTCCGGGCGGCTGCAGAGCCGGCTGCTGACGGCAGCGGACTTCCCAGGGCTCGGAGAAAGGACACACACAGTCCAGTGACGGCCGTAGGACGAGGCATGGCCCCAGGGAAAGGCCGATGAGAGGAGGAAGAGAGCCGTGGCCAGGGTGGCCAAGGCCCCGGCCCGCGCCCTGCCGGGAACATCCTGGTGCACGGCCCCCAGCCAGACCCGCCCTTGTTGGTGCGGCCCTGAGGCCGCTGCCTATCAGGGCTGCGATGTGGCGTCCGGCTCCCTGAGGCACAGTCCGGCTCCCCGAGGCACAGTCCGGCTCCCTGAGGCACATACTCCGGGAAACCCAGAGCGCGTCTCTCCTCCGCATCCAGCGAGGAGGCTGCGCTCGTCTCCGTCCCCAGATGGCACCTCTTGCTTTCCCAGCTCATCATCCCCGTCGTGGGGTTGGGGTTGGGGTAGGAGGGCTGAATAGTGGCTGCTTTCAAATGCCCTCACTCTGGTGGCACAATAGTCATGTCTATGGTCGAAATCCCAGCCTGTGGGGGGCGTAGAAAGGGAACAGAAAGGAAGGTGGCTTCCAGGGCAACTTTCCTCCTTCCCTCCTTCTTGGGAGTGGCGGGGGCACAGGCCCGGTTGGGAGGGCTTGTGGCCGAGCATGTGCGTCCTGTGGCAGGAAGACTGCGTGGCTGACACCCTGGGGTTGTTTTTTTTTTTTCTTTGTTTTTCAGCAGGGGTGGGTGAAGGGAGGAAGAGTGGATTCCAGTGCAGTGAACTGATTCGATTCCTGCAGAGGGAGAGGCGCAGGGCACCTTTGATGCTCTGGGGCCACCTGGGAAGGCTGCCGGCCGCTGGCCACGGCTCTGCGGGGCTCCCTGCACCTCACCTTGGGCAGCGAGGTAAGTGGGCCACAGGTGAGTCTTCTCAGGGCATGAGACAGGTGCTGGGGCTCTGAGAGAAAGGTTCAGATTGCACCTGTTCTTCACGTGCCCTTTCTTTCTGCTTCTGCTGTCAATGGGTAGAACATCCCTACCCCAACCCAGCTCACCAGCCAGGGACCCCTGCCATTCCTGTCTGGGCAGAAGGACAGGTCAGGACAGAGGGACCGAAGGCCAATAGCAGCCTCAAGTCACTGAGGGAAGCCTGCTGATAGACCCGGGCTGGCTCCCCTGGGTCAGACCCCAGGGGTGACCTTCAGGACCTTCTGGAAGCAGTGCAAATGAGAGTCAGTAGGTCCTGAGAGTGGGCCCCCCCTCTCAGGCTCCTAATTTGGGTCTGATCTGCTTAGACTGACTTTGGTGGCTTGATAGTCACGACTATGGTCTACATACCAGCCTATGGGGGCACAGAGATAGAACAGAAAGGAAAGTCACGTTGCTCCCAATACCAGACAAAGGGGGACCAGGACAGGCCAGTGTCCAGGGCATGAAGCTGCAGAAGTTCCGGAGGAGTATGTCGCTGAGAGATGCGTGTCTGAGAGTTGCCGTCAAGGGCTGTACCAGCCCCGAGGGTGAAGGGCTCGTGACTTCGGCAGAGGCTGACAGGTTGCATGAGGAGGTACTTAGCAGGGCAGAGGGGCTGTCTGTGTGCCAGGCAGTGAAGCGAGGGGCTCAGACACCCTCAGCTGAGGAAGTGAGAGGGCTGCAAGGTGAGCCCCAAGGCCCAAGGTCCCGAGGGCCTGGCAGAGCGAGGCTGCCAGGTGATGTGTTCTGGGGAAGAGGCTGGGGAAGTCAGGAAGGAGGACTACTACCAAGGGTTGGGGTCTCCTCAGGAGCTAGTCCCATGTTTGTGGGTCCTGAACACAGGGAGAGGGACACACTATTTTTTTTTTTTTTTCCTTTATTGATTTTAGAGAGAGAGGGGAAGGGAGAGGGAGAGAGAGATAGAAACATCGATGAGAGAGGACATCGATTGGCTGCCTCCTGCATGCCCCCCACTGGGGATTTGGCCCACAACCTGGGCATGTGCCCTGACTGAGAATCGATCCAGGACCTCCCAGTCCCAGAAAAGATAATCAGTTTACTGAGCCACACTGGCTGGGTGGGACACACTACTTTTAACCGGAGGTCAAATAGCTGCTCTGTGACTGGAGAAGCTGATTCTAGGAGGTGAGCTGATCTGTGAGTGGGACCCTCCTGAGCTGAACTTGCCCTTTGAGATGATTCTCCTTGCCCTGCTCCAACTCCGACTCCTGCACAGAATCCCCCTCCGCATCGCCCCAGCTCACGTGGTGGCCACTGAAGCTCAGCGTGGCCTGGGGTTGAGCTGTTCCGGGAAGGGAGAGCCTGCTCTCTCCAGATGCTTACAGCACTCCCAGGGCACAGTGGGCGAGCTCACTCCACAGAGCAGCACTTTCAACGGGGGGCCGGTTTCCAGGGCCACAGCACCCGCCTGCCCGCCCCTAGGTGCCGGCTCACACCTCCACGGGTGTGTGTGAGTGTGAGTACGTGTGTGTGAGTTCGTGAGAGAGAGAAAGAGAGAAATGGAAGGACACACAGGGGGAACTGTGTATTAATGGAAAATTTGAGGTTCAGTAAGGCCAACAGATGAGGAGAGTTGCCGTTGAAAAAGATGGTTTGCTACGTAGGGATTCTAAGAAGAAGCCACCACATCACAGGGGGCTACGCAGGAAGCACTGGGTCAGTCAGGAGACTGGGAGAGGGGCGGAGACGAGGGTGCGAGTCTTTATTGTGGTTTCTGTGGGAAGAATAGGCAAGGCCAGCAGGGTTATGATTGGCTCGGCTGAATAACCCGCGGGCTTTGGAGCACAGGGGCTGACCCTGGTGGTCTGGGACCTTGGCCCTGGGGTGACTAGGGCAGGTGGATAGTGGTCCAGTGTGAGTCCAACAAAAAGGGGGCTGAGATGTGGCTCTGGATTGGTTAGTTTGCATTCGAAAAGCACACTCGAGGAATTGGCCATCCCAGGGAGGGGCAGTCCCTCCAGGGTCAGCAGGGCGCCAAGGGGTCAGTGCATCAGAACAGAAAATGAAAGACGTGGTTAACACATGGAGCCTCTACCCAGCTACTGGGACGCTTCCTTTTGGAGCCTCAAGCTGCTGTGTGAGAATCTAATCATTGCCAGGCTGCCGTGCTGTGAGGAAGCCCTGCCTCAGGACCAGCCCATGTCCCCCATGTCCCGGTGATTTAATTGACAGCCCCCGCTGAGGCTCCAGCCAAAAGCCAGCATTCGAGTGAAGTCCCCTCCAGGTGGTCCCAGCCTCTGCTGCTGAGTCACCCCCAGCTGCTGACTTTCCGGAGGAAGCTCCCAACACTGAGGAGCTGGCGAAAGCCATCCTCAGTGTCCTGCTCAAAACCTGCCAGTGAACATAACAAGTTTGTTTTAAGCTGTTACATTTGGGGGGTAATTTGTTACACAGCAATAGTGACTGACCAGCATATTACCCCTCAACAAAAAGTTTACTTAAAAAGACATATGTTTTTCAAGGGCATGTTGCCTTAGCAAATTATTAATTATTGCTCTAGAGAGGTGTAACCCCCCAGATTCAGTATTACCTTTTATTTATTTTTTGTCTCCCCAAGGAACTCTACGACATGGCTCCCAGTACCGCTGACCCAAGCAGCATCTCCCACAATGCCAGCGTCTGCCTCCCTCAGCAACCACCCCGGGCAGCCAGCGTGACGCTCTGTCTGTTCTACACGGTCCTCTTGGTCTTCAGCGCCCTGGGAAATATCCTTGCCCTTTATCTTGCCTGTTTAAAGGGCAAGAAGATCAACTCAACAGGTGTCTACTTGGTCCACCTGGCAGTGTCCGACCTTCTGTTCACCATGGCCCTGCCTGGGAAGATCACCTATTACGCGCTGGACTTCAGCTGGCCTTTTGGTGAAGGGCTCTGCAGGCTGACAGCATTCGTATTCTTCATGAACACCTACGGGGGTGTCTATCTCATGACGTGTGTGAGCGTGGACCGCTACCTGGCGGTGGTCCACACCCACCGGAGCCTCCGGCTCCGCAGCGTCCGCCGAGCGAGGCTGGTCTCTGTGGCCGTCTGGGCCCTGGCGGTCCTGCAGACAGTGCCCCTGCTCTTGATACCCATGACCACGACTGTGGCGGGCAAGATCACCTGCATGGAGTACAACAGCACTGAGATGTTCAGGATGTCCCTCGTCATCCTGGTGGCCTGTGTTATAAGCTTCTGCGGGCCAGTAGGGGTCATGTTATTTTGCTACGTGAAGATCGCAGTGAAACTGTGCAGGACAGCCCAGGACAACCCTCTGGCGAGCGGGAAAGGGCACCACCGGAGGGCCTGCCTGCTCACTCTGGTGGTGCTGGTCGCTGTGGTCGTGTGCTTCAGCCCCTACCATCTCAACATCATGCAGTTCATGGCGAGACAGATGCTCTACCTGCCGTCCTGCTCCCAGCAGAGGGCTTTCAAAATCTCCCTTCAGCTCACCGTGTCCCTCATGAACATGAACTGTGGCTTTGACCCCGTCATTTACTTCTTTGCCTCTACACGTTACAGGAAATGGCTCCTCGGCATTTTAAAACTCAGAGCGTCAGCATCCTCCCCTTCCTCCCTGAGGAGAACTTCCTCAGAAACACCAAGCACCAACAAGACTGCAGGCTCCACCCCCCTAGGGGAGAATCAAGTCTAATGGTTTTGTTTTTTTTAATCCTCCCCTGAGGACATTTTTCTATTTATCTTCAGATAGAGTGGGAGGGAGAGAAAGGGAGAGGAAGGGAGAAGAAACATCAGCGTGAGAGGGACACATTGACTGGTTGTCTCCTGCACGACCCAACCAGGGCTGGGGACTAACCGCAATTGAGCTACGTGCCCTTGGCCAGGATTAAACCCCAGACTCATTGATTGGTCCAAGGGCCGACACTCTACCGCTGAGCCCAACCGGCCAGGGCTCAAGTCTAATGGCTTTACAACTACTTCCAGGCAGGGGTTCGGGGTTGGGGGCCTGAAGTTTATGTAATTTTTTGGGGGGTGGAGGGAGGGTTCTCTAATAAAAATAAATAAATAAATGAATGAATGAATAAATAAATAAATACAAAGCTAGATACAGTCTTGGATGGTGAGTGAGCAGCCCTAGAGCTTGGATTTCATTAGCTTCAAGATGAATCTACCTCCGAGGCGTCATAACAACTGTGAAGCTCCCGGCCTCGGCCTCGGCCTCGGAAGGGGTATGTGCTGACCTTTCTGGGCAGAGAGCATTTTCACAGTAAATTCAGGCACCAGCGAAAGAATCTTCGGCTGAGTACTAGATCAGTTGTTCAGACTATGTTTCAAATTTGGGGAAGCAAAAGGTTGTGCAGAGCAGAAACACTCCTTCTTCCAAAGCAAAATTGGTAAAAGCTTAGAGTTAACATTTACAAAAAATGACAAGGTTTTCCTGAGCAGGTCAGAAAACACAGGGAGGACACACACCAGGTTCTGGACCCGGCTGCCTCTGGGGCCGGGCGGAGGCGGAGGGACGTGGCGTTACCTTTGGCTTGAACCGCTTGCTGGCGTGTGCCAGGAGAAGGCCATCCCGCACGACTTGCGTCTCTGGGAACAGCACTGGGGAAGGAAGCACGCCAGGAGACAGGCACACGTTTCTTTTCTTTTTTTTTAATCCTCACCCGAGGATATTTTTCCATTTTTTGTACAGATAGAGTGGGAGGGAGAGAGAGGAAGAGCGAGAGAGTGAGAGAAACATCGACGTGAAGGGACACATCGAGTGGCTGCCACCCGCACGACCAACCAGGGCCGGGGACAAACTGCAACCGAAGTACATGCCCTTAGCGGGAACCGAACCCGGGTCTCTCCGGACCGCAGGCCGACGCTCTAACCGCTGAGCCAAACCGGCCAGGGCCAGGCACACGTTTCTATCCGTGCACACCAGTAAGTGCCAACCCACGTAGGTGTACATCAAAACAAAGCTTTGGTTGCGCCTCCTTGAATTTAAACCAATGTACAGAGCAGTTTGACTTGGTGATTTTGCATTTTGTGAAATGAGACATGCACCTCTCCACCAAAGTGCGGGGACAGCAGGGCTAGCGCGGTGTCTGCCTTGGTGCACGGGCCCAGTTGGCCCTGCTGGTTCTCACAGTGGCCTGTCCGGCCCTGGACAGACCCCACTCTTCCTCCCATTCCCTGACCCTCAGACTTCAGACGGGTCCTCTGTGGAATCGTCCTCAGCCCCTGCCCCACCATGACCCTCTTCTGGTCCTGATGCTCTGATTCTGGCATCTTGAAATTTCTGTGTTTTGGGCACTTGACTCTCCTCTGAGCAGAGGTTTACACGAGGCTCCCTCGCGAGGGGATTGTCTCAGGTGGCACCTGGATCATAAGTTCCGGAGACAAGTAAGTGTGTGCTGAGCCCTCTTCTCTCTGCCCCTGCAGCGAGGTTAGTGCTCAGTTCATTCTCGCTGGTTTGAGTGGATGAAGATAATTTCTCTCAAGCAGTCTATGTTTCGTGCCATAAAAAGCCCCCAGGGCCTCATGTCAAAGTCCTAGGCACGATTTCCTGTATCCTGCCCCTAACCCTGGCTCCACTGGGCTGTGAGCGGGGAGGACACTCAGCTCCAGGGTTACCTACAGACACATGGCCGCGGGTGTCTGCGGCCAGACGAGTCTCAGCATTGATCACCAGCTCTGGGATGTGATGGCCAGTGCCCACCATGGAGGCACTTCTGGCCTGCGGGAGGTGGGGTCTCCAAGACTCCGAGAATTTGGAACTCTGTTCTTGTGGGTTCAAGATGTGGACCCTCAGCTGCAAGTTTCTCTTCTGTGCCCTATGTTGCCTCTCCCAGTGAATGTCATAGGGGCCCAGCTGTTGTACCCTCCCATGGCTGGGATGCAGACTGCACACTCCCATCCAGTTGCACCAACCCAGCACTTGTCAAAGGACATGGAGGTGTAAGAAGGGTCCCGGCCAGCCTGGCCAGTGACGAGGTGTGACGACCAGAGCTGCCTTCATAAGCAGGAGGTCCCTCCTTGGAGAGCGGCCAGGCAAGCAGGGCTGTCCGACTCCGGACCTTACAAATCCTTCTTGACCATCCTCTCAAGTCTTTCCCCTACTCTGTCCACCCTGCAGAACAAGCTTCTCAGCCCCACTGCAGCTGCGGGTTAGTCTGTGAAGAGTATGTGGAAGCAGGAAGGAGGAAGTCATATAGGGACAGCGTTTGGAAAAAAAGAGGATCAGGAAAGAGGACCCAGATCATGAGATGCAGCAGGAAGTGCCCACAATGGGCAGGAGAGAGAGGCAACCCTGGTTTGCAGCGCTGGCCGTGAACGGATGGGGACAAGGTGGTGATGGGTGTGCCTTACTTACAAAGATATGGGAAATCTGAGTTCCAAGGGCTGAACTAGCCAGCAGTGCTCCAAGGCCAGGCTCTGAGTACAGAAGCTGAGCTCAGGGAGTCAGGAGGAAGAGTCCTGCTAAGGAGTCACACCCCCACCTGAGCCTCGTTTTCCTTGTCTGTAGAAATGGGGACTATAACGTCTACCATATGGGGTTATTGTGGAAGTCCACGAATCAACACCTGTGTACATCATTGAAAATGAAAGCTGCTTGTGGCCACTGAGGTTTCTAAGTGGGCCGGCACAACTCCTATCAGTGGGAATATGCATCTCTGTTCCTGGGGCTAGAAGGTCCAGTGCCCAGGCCACACCATCCCCTAGAGGGCTGGTTCTCAAAGTGTCGTCCTCGGCCAGCAGCATCAACACACCCCCGGAACTTGTTAGAAATGCACGTTCCTGGGCAACACTCCAGACCTCTGGAAACTGCCACTCCGGGGGCGGGGCCAGCTGTGTTGTCATAAGCTCTCTGGGAAGTTCGGTTTCAGCTCACGTTTGAGAACCACTGGCCCTCTTTAGACGTCCCCGCCAGCCTCTGACTCTCTTTCCTGTGGTATAAGTTCGCTAGGGCTGTTGTAACAAAGTACCATAAACTGTGTGGCTTTAAACAACAAAAACGTATTCTGTCACAGTTCCAGAGGCTGAAAGTCCAAAATCAACGTGTCAGCAGGGCTGGTTCCCTCGGAGGCTGTGAGGGAGACTCGCTCCCGGCCTCTCCCGGCCTCAGGGGGCTTGCTGGTGATCTTGCAGCTCCTGGGCTTGGAGACACACCACTCGAGCGCTGCCTTCTTCACGTGGCGTTCTCCTGGTGGGTCTCTGTCCTCACGTGGCATTTCCTTCTTCTTCTTTTTTTTTTTTTATCCTCACCCGAGGACATTTTTCCATTTTTTGTTCAGATAGAGTGGGAGGGAGAGAGAGAGAGAAACATCAATGTGAAAGGGACACATTGAGTCGCTGCCACCCTCACGACTCAATCAGGGCTGGGGACAAACTGAACCGAGGTACGTGCCCTTAGCGGGAACCGAACCCGGCTCTCTCTGGACCGCAGGCCGACGCTCCAACCGCTGAGCCAAACTGGCCAGGGCGCGTTTCCTTCTTCTTATAAGGACACCAGATATCTAAGAGGATTAGGCCCAACCTAATGCCCTCATCTTAACTTCATTTCACTCCATTGTACCTGCAAAGACCACATTTCCAGTTCGGGTCATATTTGCAGATACTGGATGTTAGGACTTCATCCTAAATTCTGGGGGGACAAAATCCAACCAATAACACCGACCCATTTCTGAACACCCCTCTTGCCAGACAGTCTTCTCTGAGTCTCAGCCCATCCCTGACCTCCCCAGCTCTAAGCCCCCCACACCACCTCAGAGCCCCCTGGGGAGGTGAGGCTTGGAAGAAGGAATATGAAGCTTTAAACAGTAGTTGGTTAAAAAAAAAGTTTAACTGTCACGGTTTGTTTTTCAGATCCTGTCACAATAAGCCCACGCCGAAGGGAAGCCCTGGCCAAGGCTGTCCTCGCCCTCCCTGCGGGAGCTGGTCGGAGGAAGTCCAAGGGCCAGGACAGCCCTGCAGTGAGGCCTTCACGACAAAGGCCCTGGGGTGGACAAAGGGTGCCCCGCCAGCAGTGGTGTTCGGGGTTTTCTACCACTGGGTAGAGGGTCTCATGATGATTCTAAGAACTGTAATCACTTGACATTTTAAGGGGGAAGAACAGAGAGTTTCATAAATCAAGTTTGTAGATACCCAAATGTTCCTACGGGCGCTTAGCTTTCTCCAGAAAGCACATTTCCACTGAGAACCACCACTTCCTTGGCATCATTGCACACCGCAAGCTAACCACTGCCCGGCTTTCTCTATGATTTTCTTTCTCACTTCACCAAGGGACTGTGGATGGGACAGACATAGAGCCTGAGAAATTCCTCGGGAACGTGTGGGCAGCCAGGCTCTGGGCGGCTGTGCACCCTTGGGGACCCCAACCTGTGGTGCGCGAGTCAGATCACACCTGACACCAGATCTCATGACGCAGATGCCCTGGTTCCTGCTGGTTGAAATCTTGAAAGTCTCCTTTTCTTCCGCCAAAGGTCAACAGCACTTCAGGGCTCAGCTGCTTTGATTCCAAGGAGCCCTGTAGCCTCCAGTAGCTCTGCAGTGGGCCAGGCAGCAGGAGGTGGCCGGCCCCCGGGAAGCAAGGAGCCCTCTACATGGCTGGGCTTGCTAAGGGCTGATAGAGTCCCTTCAGCAGGTTGCACATGAGGAAGCACATGGTCAGAAATTTAGTCCCAGTAAATACTCATCAGCTCAATCTGCAAGCGTGAAGGGCTGTTCCCTCTGAAAACAGGGAGGCTCAGAGGGATGGAGGAGGGCCTGTGCAGAAAGGGCAGGCTGGGGACCTCCTGCTTC